TATGTTAAAGATAATGTGAGAGACAAAATTTCCATAGCTCACCAGTGCTGTGGGGGGAGGATTTAGGAGCTGGGAATTGATGTCCAAAGAGGATTCTTCATAAAATTTTATAATTTAATGTGCAGATTTGTCCCTGTTATGGTCATTTTGCACAACTTCCAGCTAAATCTACATTTCTAAAATATTTGAAAATTTTTCCATTATTATTTTATATGTCTGAGTGTTTTGTCCACATGTATGTTCAGAAAATAATGTTGAATCCTGTAGAAGAGTTGTGAGATGTCATGTGAGTATGAGATCCAGGTCTGGAAGAGCAGCCAGTACTCTTTTTTTTTTTTTTTTTGTAATAAATAATATTTTATTTTATTTTATTTATTTATTTTTTAAATTTATTTTGCAATATAATTCAGTTCTACATATCAGCCACGGATTCCCTTGTTCTCCCCCCCCTCCCATCCACCTCACCTTCCCAGCCAGTACTCTTAACCATGGGCCTGTAGCTAGAGTTTTCCTGCCTGGCCCACAGTCAGGACAAATCTCTCTCACCCGCCAGTCACACAGCCGTCAGACCTGACCAAGTAAACACAGAGACTTATATTGCTTACAAACTGTATGGCCGTGGCAGGCTTCTTGCTAACTGTTTTTGCAGCTTAAATTAATCCATTTCTATAAATCTATACCTTGCCACATGGCTCGTGGCTTACCAGCATCTTCACATGCTGTTTCTCATCATGGCGGCTGGCAGTGTCTCTCCCACTCAGCCTTCCACTTCCCAGTTTTTTCTCCTCCTTGTCCCACCTACACTTCCTGCCTGGCCACTGGCCAATCAGTGATTTATTTATTGACCAATCAGCAAAACATTTGACATACAGACCATCCCACAGCATGGGCCCATCTCTCCAGATATATCTTTGAAATATTTTAAAGTCAGAGTACTGGGAAATTGTATAAACAAGGGAAGATTCTAACCATCATGGAACTTACAGTCACAGAAATAGCTATAATTTAGATATGAAATACCCTCCAAAAGTGAATCCTATTAAAGGCTTACACCATGAAGTGGTGGTATGGGAAAGTAGTGCACATTTTATTAATAGGGCTTAGTGGAAGGTCTCTAAGTTTTTGGAGTCATGGCCTCAAAGGGTACATATGATCCTAGATCCTTAAGGTTTTATCTTTCATATACTGGCCATAAAGAAGAAATTTACTATGCCTTATGCCCCCTGCTATTGTTATCTGCCAATAGTGTCAAGGACTGAAGAGCAATGAATCTGACTTTGCTTGTACCTCTAAAAGCTATGCTCTCAAACCAGCTCTTTATCATTAAACATGGATTATTGTAGGAATATGTTTCAGAGACAAGAAGCTTGCTGTTGTAGATATCACTGATCAAATGAGACAGAATACTAACAATAATTTCTGACTTTATTAAAATTTTATCTACTAAAGTTATAGCCTATATCATGATTGTTTTCTATATACACACAGGATGCTTTTCCATTTCACAGGTCCATTCTCTGTTAGAATAGCTTCACTCTCCCTAAAATCCTCCCCATTCCTCCCAGAGGGGCAGCGTGCCTACACTTTTGCTTACTGTTTAATTTGGGTAGAAAGCATTTACAAAACATCAATGCTAGAGAACAGCTTTCTTTTATCCAGGCAAAAGGAGGAACAATAACTTTTTAATCATATCTCTTCAGTTAGAGGTATATCATTATATCTTCTATTGCTTTTATGTTTTCATGTTATGTTAGACTATATTGTTATATCAGGTTAAATTCTTATGCTATGTTATGTTGTGTTGTAATGTTATAACAGGGAGAAAATTTCTCCCATGGGGATTCTTAAATACTGTCTCCCTCACCCTCATAAGATCTCAAAGACAAATCAAAGTACTAATCTATCAAAGTTCACACTGTGGAACCAATGAGTTTATTGTGCACACGTACAGAGTATGAGTGAGCAGTTATTGGCAGTAATAATGGTGACCTCAAAGAAGTTGTACAGGAAGGTCTTCACCCATTGGAGATGATGGCTACTGTCATAGCCATGTAGATGGAGCCCCTTTCCATTAAACTTCCCAGATTATGTAACATCTCTATGGATACAACCACAACTGCGGTCCAGGCCACGTACAATGAGAACAAAGCTGTATACACATGTTTTGAAGGGGTAGCTGGGATCTCAGATGAATGTCCTATAACTCCCTAGGCCCACCTTTTGTGAAGTAATGCCAACAGTCCAGCCTTGATGATCTGTGGCAAGCAGGCACAACTTTTCTAATGAAAATTGCAGCTGTTCCATCTGAATGACAATGTTCTATAACACATTGTTATTATGTTATTAGTCAGAATTTATATGGAAAATCCATAGACTCATTTTCATGTCTTGCTTTTGGGCACAGGCACTTTTGTTGACAGACAGACTTACAGAATTCAAACATGTTCTTTTGTTTCCTTTGTGTTCTTAGAATGTTTCTTTAAAAAACACATTGAAATATATATCACAGACTTCCACTGTTAAGGGATGTTTTGAATATGTTTTTGTGAACATGCTAGAGGAACAATCTAACACACTTAGGTATGCTAATAATATCAAAGTAATTATGACTTCTCCCTTGATGTAGGCATACTCATTGCACTCACTGTGCTAGTTGTCCATAGACAGAAAGGCACAGAATTAACTTGTACACAATTAATTTGTTCTAAAAAACATCAGCCTTTATGACCTTGCTGTCACCATGGAGTCTATAATTGATTTTTAAGAGAAGTAATATTGATATCAGCACATAAGAGTTAGAAATATTTTGGCTCATGGAAACACACACACACACACACACACACACACACACACACACACACACACACACACACACAGCCAAGTAAACAAAACAAATATTTTATGCCACTTGAACTTGAAAAATATTGGGCTGGGCAGTGATAGCACATGCCTTTAATCCCAGCACTTGGGAGGCAGAGGCAGGTGGGTCTCAGTGAGTTCCAGGCCAGCTATGACTGTTTCATAGAGAAACTCTGTCTCAAAATACCAAAACAAAAAAGAAAAAGAAAAAGAATTCCATATAGAAGTATCAGCATACTAACAAACCTACAGGTGAATACTGAAACTTTTTCTCCTCTGGGACCAGTAATATAATGATAGGCACCACAGTTATCCAGTACAGTATGAAATGCAAGCCACAACAATCAGGCAGGGGAAATAAATAAAAAGGAAGGAAACAAGCAAGGAATATGTTAAATTATTTCTCTTTGCAGATCATATGATTCTATACTTAGAAAACCCTAGAAATTTTGCAAAAAGACTTCTATCACCAATAAATCAGGCAAAGTAGCAGATGACAGCACACAAAAATCAATTGCTTTCTTATAAGAGAGAAATAGACAAAGTGATTCCATTGGGAAAAAGTGTAAACAAATAGCAGTCACCTAGGAATAAATTTAATCAAGTAATAAAAAGTTCTTAATGAAAATATGACACTGAAGAAAGATATGGCAGAAGATAGGAGAAGACACAAAGATGTGTTAATTTCTACAACAAAGAACAAAAGAACACCATTCCATCATACCTGTGCTCAAAGAAATGAAGTTACTTTTGGTGAATGCTAAAACTCTTCAGGAGGAAACTGTTATACTACCTCGATATCAACATTGTCAGATATCCATGGAATCATGCTGATGATTTCCATGGAAATAGACAGCTTGCCTTCACTTTCATCTAAGAGTCTTGTACCTTAACAAGTTCTTACTTTAACATATTTTGTGTTATCCATTGATTTAGTTTCATAGGACTCACAACATGATAGTGAGGCCTTCAACACACTATTTCTCATTCAGAAATGACAAGGTGACAAGAGAATATCTCCCTTGTTTAGCTTCTGTGTTGATTTTCATTATATATATATATATATATATATATATATATATATAACTGATTTACTTACAATTATTTTATATTTTTTTCATCCATGATTAAACCAAGTTGAAAATTTTTCAACACCATCAAGAACCTTTGAATATAGTCAGAGCACCAGGACCTAGTGTTTCCTTACTTTTGAGTATCAGATTATGGTACTGGAACAGAATTTTCCATAAGGTTAAAAAAAAAAGAAAGAAAGAAAGAAAATATAACTTTATGCTGAGACAGCATTGCATGCATAGTAAGTCTTCTCTAACACTTTAGGTGAACATAATGCCATATTTGTTAGTAGTGAGGAAAAATACATTGTTAGCGTCTAATTAGGTTCCTTTGATTTTTTGTGCTGGCATATCACAAAGGTGATATAAAATGAAAATAATAATAAAATGTTTTAAAGACTTACATAGAAGACTTAGTTTAACATTAGGAACACAAATTGCCTTTTGTCTTAAAACGTCTGTTTCATGGCTTTTAAAAACTCTCCCATTTTAGTAATGGAAGCTAATATGAATAGGCAATAGTGGCTCCTGTGCGGGGCTGAGAGTGCCTGCATGGGACAATTCCAAGAAGCGTGCTGGAATTTGCCTCTACGTAAAAGCCAAAGGTAAAAAATGAAATTATAATTTTAGCTTTCATTTTTAATAAGGTACTGACCATTATATAAATTAATTTAATTTAGATACTTAACATAGTAATGTTTGCCTAATTCTACATATGAGGAAGTTGATCATTACAGAGAGCTAATGGGCAGGACATATACATTGTCATGAGCAATGGGACATAGCATCAGATCATGTACTCAGTTTCATAGAAAACTGCAACACCAACACTGTTTAGAGCTCCCAATTTCATCTTCTCAGAGACATGTTTGTTCAGTAGCTCAATGAAAAGTATTTTAAATAAAAACATTAGAATGCAAGACTATCTAGGTGGTTGATGAACTTTCTTGAGCTTTTGTAGTTCCTGGGAATGGATGGTAGAATGTCAGTCATTTCAGGACCCTGTGTGCCTCCTTCACCTTCTGATGGAGCCCATGGATTGGCTGACACAAACTAGCCACAACCTACCTCCAAAATGTGGTGGTGGGCCACAGAGGAGCACCACACCTTGACCTTCTCGGACAGACACTGTGCTTCTGGTTTTGGTTTCAAAATCTTCAATATCTTGGGAAACAAAGAAAACAGGTTCAGAGTTCCTTACATTTTAGAAGTTAAGAAGAATCTGGATATTTTAAAGGGAAATTATTTTGATTGTTATGAGTAACAGATACCCATATTTGGCTAAACAGAATATGGAGCTAATAGCTAATTTATCTGCAGTGGTGAATCATTCACAAAGTCTTACATTTCTTTCTGTCTTACTTTTAGATATAATTCAGTAGAGATTGTGATAAACAAGTTTGTTTATTATGGCTACTCACTATGTTTACTTTTATTCTCTCAGACAGTTTGTAACCCAGTATGCAGTCCTCTAAGAGCAGCACATATTTAATATGTCCAGACAAAGTAGATTTAAAAGGGTATGCATGATGGGCAGTGGTGGCACATGTCTTTAATCTCAGCACTGAGGAGTCAGAGGCAGGTGGATCTCTGTGAGTCAAGGCCAGCTGGGTCCACAAAGTGAGTTCCAGGAGAGCCAGGACTCTTACACAGAGTAACCCTGTCTTAAAAAAAAAATGAAAATAAATAAATAATAATAATAAATAAATAGATGTGCTAAAGTCTACTTTTTTAGATTAATGGCTGCCATTTGTTGGTTAAACAGTGCCTCAGATTTAGGATATGGTGGCCCAAGAAATAAAGCTGCCATTGATAGAACCAGTGTACTCTTTTCTTTATATCCCCCCACAAAGCTGCTTCTTGAACTTAAGTGGGAGGTGTAAATTTCCTATATTAAGCAACCCTAGAAATTTAGAAATGGATGAAATCTTGATAAACCATCTAGTTAATGTTTAAATCTTTCAACATTCCTAGGAAAAGTCTATCAGCCTCCAGGAAGGGCAAATGCTCAATTCCTTCTGAACACCAATACCTTCATCTGTAAAATACATCCATTCACTCACTCACTAACTCACTCACTCACTCACTCACTCATTCATTCATCTTCTGAAGGATAGGAATGTTGTTCAAGTGCAAAAGCAATATTTGTAAGGATAACAGAGAATAGCAAAGGGTTGACTTACTGTTATTTTGCTAACTCTCTAATAGGAAAATCAGATTTAACAACAACAACAAAAATGTACATTGCTACAAAAGTGTGACCACCATTTTGAAACAGAATCTGCTGTGTATGAAGATCTATTCTCTCTTCTTCAGTAGTATCAGGGTTGAAATCAAACATATTTCTCTAACTAGATGATATATTCTCCAGACTTATTTTTAGGTGCATATACCAAACAGAAAAATAACAGTTTCTGTGTTTGAGATTGCATTATTACAAACATTCACGGTTCTTTTTCACTCAATTTCACTACCTCTTGACATGCCAATAAAATAAAAGCCACTTCTTCTTCATAAGCTACTTTTTAGACAAGAAAGATTTACTGTTATCTGCATATTTAAGAGACTTTGTGACAAGCTGGACCCATTGTTCTTGGTTGCTCACCATAATAACTACATGGTAAGACCCTATTGCTGAAGACACCCCCCATTTTTGTTACGAGACATAGAGAAACCAAGCTTGAACTGACCAGAAAACTCTTCTCTCTCCTAAGGAGCTTACTCAGTGCCAGGTGTTACTATGAAGACAGCTAAGGTAGAAAACACATCAGTGGTCTTACACAATGCTAGACTCTGCATGCTAGAATACTGGCTTCCCAGGCAAAATGTACACATTGACACAATATTTAAAAAGTACTCATTGATATGGCTGTTGTAGAACAACTAACAGTTTTCCAATTGCATAAGAGGCCTGCTCCACAGGGGGATTTCATGCCAGGAACTATAACTCTGATTAAAACACATGACTGAAAATATCAAAGGCCTTAAAGGAGCAACCCACTGTTTTTGTTTTGCTAAACAGTCATGTTGTCAAACTTTGTTCTAAAAATGTGCTTATAACATAGATGTATGCTTCTCTCATCTTGGGTCAAAGAAGCATCTTTGAAATGGGTAGTGTGATTAATGCAAAAACTCATACCTGGTTCAAGCACCAAATATAAATAACTCTAAACACTCAGTTGTGGTTGGGCTGTATATCAACCTTCCCATGCAAAGCTCTGGGAACTTTGTGGAAAAGAGGTGGAGGAAAGCTGGAACATGAAGACTTCTCAATATAAAATAGCTGTTACACATCAAATCACAGCAGTGTACTTACCTGCACAAGATCAAAATAGTCAAAAGTCCAGCACGGATCAGGAGCTACTGGTAATTAATACTTCTGAGGGAAGCAAAATCAATCTGGTTTGGGGATGCGATACTGGTAGGTGGCTCATGTCCCAGTGGATGGCCACACACACGTGCAGATGCACAGTACTAATTGGACTCTGTGCATTATTAATAACAAAATAATAAAATAAAAAGAAGCTGAGCAGGAGATGGGGTGGGGGCTCCCTAAGAGGAGGTGGACTGTGGTAGTGATGGATAGATATGATCAATATATGTTGTATAAATGCATGAGACATTAAAAATGAGTTCAATTATATTTTTTAAAAAGTGGGCTGTGTGAATCAAAACTACAAGTAAAGTTCTATGGTGCCTGAGGCATTTATTGAGTAATCTCTTTATTATTGTTGTTTAACCTTTTACCTTCAGACATCCATCAAAGGAAATGGAGAAAGCACAGATCTGATGGATAATAACAGGACCAACTTTGTCTATGTGAGAAAGGGAGAACATTCCTTCCATGATAAAAAAATAAATGAGACTAAAATTCTAGACACACAGAATTTATAGTGCAAAGAAGTCAATGCTGCTGCCATTAAACTGCAAGAGTGAGCAGATATTTTCGTTTCAGAAATTAATATACATATGACTATACTAAAATTGAAGAGGAATATTTGGTCAAAAGTAATAAAATCCATTACAAAAAATCCTACCCACTTCCATTAATCAGAAAGAAGTTATCAACTCAGATTTGGAAAATGCATAAAGTATATATAGTGGCGAACTTGTAATTTCAAAACCAAGAAGACCCTGAAAGGAGGATCACAAGATAGCCTTGGCTGCATAAAACTTCTGTCCCAAATAAAAAACAAATTTCTTAACGTCATATTGTTAAAAATAGGAGAAAGATATGTTTCTGAATATATCTATACTACTACTAAATTGCAAAAGAAATAAAATAAAAGCCTATGTGTGACATCCAAGCAACTCAAAAACTGCTACAAAGGATCTTAGGAAATGGATATTTTAAAAATTATTCATGTTGTTTATAGTAGAAGAATAACTGAAGTATGTCAGTTCCTCTGTGAACATTTTACAACCATGGTGTACTTGACATGAGAGTATGTTTAAAGTTTCTTTAATGTTTCTCTGTAGTATGACCTGAAAAGTTATAAATATTATTTGGACAAATAAGAGACCATAGCAATGACATAATGTCTATGGAACATCTCATCCCTGGATGAGGGAAAGCCAAGGCCCAGATGTAGAAGAGGAGGATTTATCAGCAAATAAATTACTGAAAGCTATGTCAACAGATATGGAATAACACTCCAGTTTTTGATATGTGCTGTTTAACAAATATGTCTCTAGATTCAAATACTGACAATATGACTCTTCAGAGGTAGAGAGACACTGAGATAAGAGGAAGGAATAGAGAAAAACAAAGGGACAAGAGAAAATATGGAATGGAGCAATGAAGACCTAGAAAAAGTTTAGATAGAAATTGTTAATCACATGTGATCTTGGCAAAATAAATTCAGTGACATTTTCAGACAGAGACAAATGTACATGAGGGCTGTGGTTCAGAGGCATACACGTCAACTCTTCAGAGTAGGCTGGGAGTTGGAGGGGAGATTCAGGAAGAACGTGAAAGGGTTGGAGAACTACACTGATTAGCTTATAGGGTAGGCTAGGAAAACAGTTACAAAGGGCATGTGGAGGGACAGTCCTTTGTAAGAAAGTGGAATTAGGAGAAGTGATCTGTGTATGGGTACAATACGGACTCCAGAGTATTCTCTTATTAGAATAAAAAGCTTTGGACAGTGGATCCAAATCTGAAACTGGAAAGAGAATATTTGCTAGGTCATTTGAGAAGACAGAGGATGCAAGAAACGCAACTACTCAGCACTTTTGCTGTGGAGGTTGAATGCAACTGAAAACACAAGGAATATAGAGTACAGCTAGAGTGGCATTAGAAGGAAAGAGAGAGAAAGTCATTGTACTTTTTTTCCCCAAAACCATGTCCAAATACACTCATATACAAAGCCAACTTCAACAGAACATTTTGCTTCCAGTTATATTCATACATTCTCTGTTTAAAGCACCTGTAGTTTATTGCTCTTTACTACATTATTTCCCAAATAAATATCTATATTTGTTTTCAAAATGTAAAGTCTTCAGTTCAGAGAAAGGTATGCATGGCACATGATATGTGAACTTAGCAATGCATCTGTTCTTGACGTTTTGCCATGGATGTTTGTGCAGTGGTCAAGCATGTGTATGAGCATACACACGGAGGCCAGAGGACATACTCAAGTGTCACTCTTCAGGCACAATCTTTCATCGGCCTATAGCTCTCATGGGTCAAGGTTGGCTGACCAGTAATTCCCAGGAACCTATCTCCTTACCAGGGATGGGATTACAAGTATGAGCCATCAGTCTTGGCTTTATTTACGGGATTTCTAGTGATAGATCTCAGGCCCTCATGCTCACAAGGCAAATGTTTAGCCATCTCTCTAGTACCTGTACTAGATTTTTTTAAGTGGAAATCTTCCTCAAGATGTAATCCATTTATCCCCCATAATTTCACCCCTTTCCTCCATTTGCTTTTCATCAATAGTCATTAGTTGTGTACTATGTGAGGATCTGGTATGCCTGCCATGTTTTATTGTTGTTGTTGTTGCTTGTTTGTTTGTTGTGTGGAGTATTATTTAATTAAATCCATTCTATTTCCTTTTTGGTTATGGAAAAACTGAAATAGCTTCATGTATATTGGTGCCATCAATACAAAGTAATATGGTCAGGGTCACAATTCAGTGGTAAACACTTGACTAACATGC